ACCCAAGTGACTTAAGACTGGTTTTGTGGTCCAGGGTCACATATAATGTTAATAGATATAAATGTATAGGTTATCTTTTGTGCAGTAGTTGATGTTTGCCCTGAATGCCGGTCGTCTCCGTTGCAGGTTCGTATGACCACACAGTGAAAGTGTTTGACATGCGGTCAGGGAGCAGTGTGATGACCATGCAACACGGCCATCCTGTGGAGTGTGTGCTGTTATATCCGTCAGAAGCCCTGCTGGTGTCCACAGGTGAACAACACTCGTAATCTAACCACACCGTGATTAGTAATGCTTAGAACCCCTTGCAACCATTTATTCTCATAGCTCATAATGCAGAAATATACTGTAGACTTGGTGCATTAATGTAGTTTTCATCTGATGTGCTATTTTATGACAGCTTGAATGTGGCTTTTCTAAAAAACGGTTGAAATAAGGTGGTGTATGTGTTACAGGAGGGCGCTATGTGAAAATTTGGGACCTGTTGAAAGGCGGACAGGAGCTTGTTTCTCTTAAGAATCATCACAAAACAGTTACGTGTGCATGTCTGAGTTCTGTAGGCAACAAACTGCTCACAGGATCACTGGACAGGTATGTCTGCATGTGTGAGCCATAAAATGCTATAAAGTGCTTCTTTGTGCATTTTTGTCAGCCTGATGTGAGAAAGTTGGATTTATTTGTTGTGGTTGCTTTTGATTTTAGGCATGTCAAAGTGTATAACTCCTCTTATAAGGTTGTACATAATTTCGACTGTGATGCATCCATCCTCAGTATGGCTGTTGCGGTACGTTTAGTTAATTTACACAAAGAAATCTATAAATATGAACTTATAATGTGATGTTTCATTTGCACTTGAATTGAAGTGTTGCTATTGTGGTTCTCCTCTAGCCTGATGATGAAGTGGTTGCTGTGGGGATGACCAATGGTGTGCTGAGTGTCAGGCACAGGAAACACAAAAAAGACAAAGAGACGTTAACTAGTCGAAGGCGACGGGGCCCGTCATACCGGGTCTTTGTCAAGGGGAAGAACTTTGTGCCCAGACAGGTGATTGTTTTCTTTTCTTTTTTTCTGGACGAATTAATCAATAAATTTTGATTAATTCGATTTTTTATTTGCTAACATTTCACAAGAACTTTGTGTCCAAACATGTGATTTTTATTTTGTTTTATTTTACTTTTTTTCCGGAATGAATGAATTAATGATTTTTAATTACATTTCTTATTCATTTTTTTTTTTTTTTTCTGAACGAATGAATCAATTAATTTTAATTACATTTCACAAGAGCTTTGTGCCCAAACATGTGATTTTTATTTTATTTTTCTGAATGAATGTATCAATTAATTATTTAATTACATTTCTTATTTGTGACCCTGGAGCACAAAACCAGTCTTAAGTCGCTGGGGTATATTTGTAAATTTCCTACTGTCAAATTTTTGATTAGTAATATACATTGCTAAGAACTTCAATTGGACAACTTTAAAGGCAATTTTCTCAATATTTAGATTTTTTTTGCACCCTCAGATTCCAGATTTTCAAATAGATGTATCTCGGCCAAATATTATCCTATCCTAACAAACCATACATCAATGGAAAACTTATTTATTCAGCTTTCAGATGATGTATAAATCTAAATTTCGAGAAATTTAACCTTATGACTGGTTTTGTGGACCAGGGTCACATTTGCTAACATTTCACAAGAACCTTGTGCCAAACCATAATGTTTATTTTCTTTTATGAATTTATTTATTTTAATTAAATCTCTTATTTGCTAACATTTCACAAGAAGTATGTGGCCAAACAGGTGATCTTTATTTTATTTTATATTTTAGTTTGCTTTTTCAGAGTGAATCAATGATTTTAATTATTTTAATAAAATGTCTTATTTGCTAACATTTCAGCTAAAATTGGTCTCTAACATAGCTATTCTACAGCTATATTCAAATGTAAGCTATATAAATTAAGATATCTTCGTAAAATAAGAAGCCATGTTTACTGAGTCTTGTATTTTCATATGAGACTGTTTGAATGAACTTGTGTGCTTCGTTTTTGCTGCATTGTTTTCTTCAGTTGTGTCTTACAGTCTTTTCATGTCTTTTTTAGGATGATTTCTTGGTCAGTAAACCAGTGAAGCAATATCTACGGAAATATGACAAACAGCTGAAAAGCTTTGAGGTGTCCAAAGCGCTGGACACTGCTCTGCAGGTGAGCACACACCCGTGTGGATATAATGCAGTTTGATATATGCTGTGACTGTCCAGATGAAGATATCGGTATATGTTTGTGCATGTTTCACAGACATGGACACGCACCAGTAAACCAGAGGTGACCGTAGCGGTTATCATAGAGCTCAACCGCAGAGGAACTCTGAAAAATGCTCTATTATTGAATTATTGGCTGTGTGGGATTTACACTTAAAAGAGTTTCAGCACTGTTAATATTCTGTGAAATGCATTCCATTAAATTCTTGTGACAAAAACTGAACTTCTTGGAACGATTAAAGCACCAGGAAAGTCTTAGTCAGGTTCACAGGGTGTGTTGAGATTGAGGGTTTGGGTCACACAACACAAAAGTGAGCCAGAACAGGAGGCCACAATCATAAGCGTAAACGAGAGTCACGAGAGTCCTGACCACATTTTCTTGGTTCAAGGCATTTAATACCACAATACATTTATTTTGTGATGATGACTTGATATGAAAGGATTCTGAAATTAAATTAGAGGGCGTTTTTGTGTGTTGTTTTTCAGGCACATCTTTGACCCACGCTTCTCTCGGCCTCTGCTCATGGTCGGGGATATTGTTCTTGGTGAGTTTCATATTGTATCATGTGCATGTAAGCAAATGAGAATGAAGAAGTGAACTGCTGCTTATGAAATAGTATTGTTTTGCTCTGGTTTTCAGAGGTGTTCTACATATTAAAACGTGTGTGTGTAGATCTGTATCAGCAGGTTCTTCACCAGTCACCTGTAGTCGAGCGGCAGCTGCAGCGTCTTATGGAGGTGTTGGGTCGGGAAGCAGAACTTCAGCAAGAGCTTCTACAGGTCTTGGGAATCCTGGACACACTTTTCGCATCCCCGACCCCCAGAAAAGAGGTCGCAGCCCTTGCTGCCCTACCAGTAGATCAGGGGCCACAGCTACAAGCCGCCTGACACTCATTACAAAACACTCGTGACACAACCGAAACATGCTGGACGTTGGCGTGGTGAAAAAAGGAAAGGGAAAACGGAAGGAAACAAACATGAGAGGCAGCTGTGGGAAAAAACGTTGCCCAATGTCACTGAATAGTCAGTGTGTCCTCCGTTTCTGCTGATGTTTACAGAATTTTAAACTGTATTTTGTACATTCTTATCATAAAATCTTCAAATCTATGTGTTTTGGTTTATTTCTTTCTGTAATAATAAACAAAATGTCAATGTCAATTGCTGTTTTTTGTCTTTCTTGACCAGTATCACTGAAACATGTGATTGTGTTAGCCAATCAGAAAAGGTGCCAATTTTCATGTGAGTAATTGTGTGTATGCATTACCTGTCTGTTGGAGGATGTGGTTATGGCAAAGGGCTAATCAGACAATCATTCAGTGGCTGACAGAAGTTAGCACAATATGACTTGTATATTACAACTTTTTCTTCTTCTTCTTTTGGAGTTTTATGGCGGTTGGCAAACAAAAGATAGGTGCATTCCCGCCACCTACATCTCTCGCATCTTTTCCGACACGCACATAGTCTTATGACTTCAGACTCCCATACAAAACACAATAGCTCATAAACAGTTGGAGGGGGAAATTTATGAACACTTCATAATTAAATAAAAAAAATAAAATGTAATATACAGATATAGTACAGCCTCATCAGAAATTATTCTGGGGGACTTGAAGTTCATCAGCGTAGGAAAGATTATGGAATTTTCCAAGATTACAAAATTTTCCAATTTGCTTGGATTTCTCAAAACTGTTTTTGGGTGAATGGGTTATATTTCACTTTAAAAATGTATAGATTAAAAGAAAATGTAATTTGCATGAAGGCAAAAAGAGTATATTTTGGTACATTGTTTTTATTATTTATTTATTTAGCGTTTTAAGGTTTTTGACATTTAAATGCATTTCATGTTTTGAGTTTTGTTCTCATTATTCTTGCTGATGATGATTACTGTTATACTATATACTACTATTTTTTTAGATAACAATTATTTAATTTTAAATAATATCCTTTTCACATTTCAGTAATGAGAATTTACTGAAAATGTCATTAATTATCATAAAACTCTACAATGCAAAAGTCTTAAAGGAAATTTAATGGTATATATATATTATAATGGTATATATATATATATCATTGATGGAATAGGAAGAACTAAATAAAAAATAACATATAATAATAATAGAAAAAATGTATATTACAACTTAAAATGTATTATAGTATATAATCAAGGACCAAATGTAACCATGTGGATTAAATAATAATTTAAGGACCAATCATTGGAAAATCCATATCTTTAAAGCACTAATCTGACTATTGCTGACCTTGTGTGTAACCACAGATTTATGGCTGTATATCATTATATACAATGTTTTTCAGAGTATAGTTCTGTATAATTTTTGCATAATATAAAGACAATTCAGTATTCTGATGTTTCAGTATTCAGTATTCAGTATTCAATTTAGAGTTTTAGGGCACTCTTTTAAGTTTTTTATTTCAATCATTTAAGGATTGAAATAAAAGCATTTTTAAATGCCACAAAACTTTGAGCAACTTTAACAAATCTAAAGTTGTGTTAATAAATTGTACCTATAATCAAACTATAATTAAACAAATACTGCAGAAAGATGAGCCTTGAGGACGTGGCAGTTCTAACCCAATGACATAATCACGTTTGGATTGAAGCGGACCAATCGCCTAGCGACTCAGACGACTTCTGCACGGGCGGTCCTGAGTGAAATTCTCAATCTGATTGGTCCGTTAAACGAGGTTTGAGCGTTATCTCCAATCTGATTGGTCAGTTGAGAGGGCCCTCCAAAGGAAGTGTCTCCCAATTTCCCAAACTAGTTTGACATCCGGAGTTATTGAGATCAGCCGGGCGGTGAGAAACGCTACAAAATTCACCAGGTAAAGTTGCAGTTTTGCAATAAAACAAAACCGTTCATTCATATGTTCTCTGATATGCAGTGTTATGCTAAGCTATTTTATTTATGTCGTTTGAGAGTTGCGGGTATTTGCACGAGGCTTAATGTGTGGAATTTTAAATGATGTTTGCATGTCTAAATACTGGGGATATTCATTCAAAAAATGCAATATAACACTTTATTACACTAGTATCAGGGTTGTGTGTGTGTGTGTGTGTGTGTGTGTGTGTGTGTGTGTGTGTGTGTGTGTGTGTGAGTGTGTGTGTGTGTGAGTGAGAGAGTGAGTGAGTGTGTAACAATGTTGTCTGTTTACACACACACACAGTCAATTCTGTAAAAAGAATTTACATACACACACACACACACACACACATATACATGTGTGTACATATATACATATGACTGAATTTGCTGCTTTTTGATGGTGTTGAAATAGTGTACGAGAAGATGGACCTGCTGCCGCTGTTTTTGGTCGTTGCCCTCTGCGTTCTTCAGTCCTCCAGCAAACCCATGCTGAAGAAGGACCGCGTCCATCACGACGCCCCCCTCAGCAACAATGAGCACGATGATGAGAACTTCAACTATGACCACGAGGCTTTTCTTGGGCAAGAGGAGGCAAAGACCTTCGACCAGCTCACGCCAGAGGAGAGCAAAGAGAGACTGGGGTAAAAACACACCACATTTTGATGAGCTCTTCACTTGAGAAAGTTCCCCAAATCATTCACTTTCTCTTTCTGTCTACAGTAAGATTGCAGAAAAGATTGACGAGGATCATGACGGCTTTGTGACCGCTGATGAGATGAAACGCTGGATCAAACAAGCTCAGAAGCGATGGATCTATGACGATGTGGAGCGGCAGTGGCAGACTCACGATCACAACTCAGACGCTTATGTCTCCTGGGAGGAGTACAAGAACGCTACCTACGGCTACATCCTTGGTGTGTGTGATGTGTTTGAAAATATTTGGTTTTCAGTTCGAGCTTTTGGACTGACTATCTACTATTGAAATCAAATCCATTTGTTAAGACTCCGTAGTCAATGTCTGACCTGAAAACAACTGATTTAAGTCAAGAAAAAAAATCACATTTACTATGAATAGCTGGAAATCCAGACTAACATCATGTGTTTAGATGAAGCAGATCCCAAGGATGGTTTTAACTACAGGCAGATGATGGCCAGAGATGAGCGTCGTTTCAAGATGGCTAACCATGATGGTGACATGAGGGCCAATAAGGAAGAGTTTACAGCATTCCTTCACCCAGAGGAGTTTGACTACATGAAGGATATCATAGTGCTGGTACGTCTGGACAATCAGAATGCTACAAAATGTCTTCCATATACCTTTGCTGTTATCTTTTGTCAATGTTTACTCACCCTCATGTTGTTCCAGACCCGTATGACAGACTTTCATCTGTAAAGAGGCCGTTGGCAGAATATCAATATGTATATCATAAATCATGATATACACTACCAGTCAAAGGTTTGGGATCAGTAAGACTTGTAATGTTTTTTTAAAGAAGTATCTTATGCTCATCAAGGCTGCATTTATTTGATAAAAAATACAGAAAAAAAACAATAATCTTGCAAAATGTTATTACAATATCAAATAATGGTTTCTATTTTAATACTCACATACAAAGTGTTTTTTTTTTCTTTCTTTTTGGAGTTTGAAGCATCAGCAGTCTGCTAAATGTCTTTTGTGTCCCCTAAAGAAAGTTGTATGGGTTTGGAACAACTTGATACGTGTTAATAAAGACAATTTTCATTTCTGGATCAAGATTTTGCAGTACTGCTTGGATTGTGGAGGTTTTTGTGTGTGTTTGGTTTACAGGAGACCATGGAGGACATTGATAAAAATGGAGATGGTTTCATCGACCTTGATGAATATATTGGTAAGTTAAATGTTTTCTTTTTTTCAAGTGTGTTTGTGTGTATTTAAGAGAGACTGGAATGGACAGAAATCAGTTTCCTGTTCAGTGTATTGATTTTGTCTCACTTTTGCCCTTGTCTTTGTGTGTTTGTCAGGTGATATGTACAGTCAGAATGGAGATGCAAATGAACCAGAATGGGTGAAAACGGAACGAGAACAGTTTACAGAGTTCAGGGATAAAAACAAAGACGGCCGTATGGATAAGGACGAGACCCGTCACTGGATCATGCCCTCCGACTACGACCATGCAGAGGCTGAGGCCAAACACCTGCTGTATGAGTCTGACGCAGATAAGGTAAAAGCATGGTAATTCACTGTGACAGCTAAAAATGATGATTCTGTCTGTAAGAAATTTTTTTTTTATCTTGAAAGCTGCTTGAATAACTTCTTTTATTTCCATGATAGGACGGACGCCTCACAAAGCAGGAAATTGTGGATAAGTATGACTTGTTTGTCGGGAGCCAAGTGACAGATTTTGGAGAAGCTCTGGTCCGACATGATGAGTTTTAATTTTGGCAACTTTGCACTTAAAAAATGCAAAACGAACAATCATTTATTTTATAATTTCAAGCATGCCACATTGTGAAACATTGTGTTTACAAAGCATTTCTGTTCTTCCAACTCGATCAAATGCATTTTTTTTTATTTTGACTTTTTCCGTGAACACATCTTTTGTAGATTAACACTCATCACTGTTGGAATCAGATGTGATTTCAAATGCACTGAAGTAGTAGTATTCAGGTCAGCTTGTGAAGCTTGTCAAAGTGTTGTGTAGAGGTTTGTCTAATGGCCTATAATGCACTGAAATGAGCCCATATAATTCAGCAAAATGGCATGTGTGTAACCCGACACAGCATAAAGCAATAACCACCCAATTTTGTTTTTACACTGCACAATATGTTAGTTTTTTCTTGGGTATATAAAAAAGGATAGCCTTATGTAAACTACTTTTCTAAATAATATATAATGCTTTGCAACCACTACGTGTTTGTGTTTATCTCCATTTAGCCAGAGGATGTGTGATTGGACATGACGCTAAGTAGTAGATTGTAGTAAAGATTTTGAAAAATGTCATTGTCTTTGGCTCAAAATACGCCTAACCAGAAGTTCTGGATTGGTTGTATCAGAATGTCAAAGCTTGTTTTTGTTGATCTATGATCAGTTTTATTTTTCTTTGATTTGCAAAGGAACGTAGACACAAGGACAGATAAAAGCTGTTCATTTATGAATAAAACCCCTGCTTGAAGGGTCATTGTATGTCATTCCACCCGCTGCGACCTGTCAGTTAGAGCTATATTACATGGAAGTGCTCTCATTAATGAACTGAACCAACAAACTAAAGCTGTTCTTTCTTCAAGTGCCTTTTTCCGTCTCCCTCGACCTTCAAGCTGCTTTGACGTTATTATGCGAGACTTTATTTTGGTTGTCTTACCATTTTTCCCCCTCTGCAATTTGTACATGACTGAAAATGACCTTCTCTCCTAACATTATTATATAATTTGTGTATATATGTTTATAAATGAATGTGAAATCTATTCAATATGCTGTGGTCAGGTATTGTAAATACTGTCTTATAGCTGAGATTGTTTTCTCAATAAAATTGATTAAAATGAATATCAATTGGGTTTCCATTTGTGGGGTTTCCAGGTGATTTTTTTTTTTTTTTTGCGCAGATTCTAATCTTATCCACTAGGGGTGAGCTGGTTATTTTTACTTCATTTCAAATGGACTACTTTTTTGTGCCCCCCAAACTTTTTTTAGTCATATTACACCTGTTTTTCCATTACTTTGATATTATTCAATATTATCATAATGAACGAGTCCCACATAAGTTTAATTTTAGCAGAACTATACACCACAGGCTGTCTTATTGTTTGTAATCAGTAGATTTTATTTGAGATGGCATGTTGCAACGTAAAGTGCAATTTCAATACAAAGGAAGCATGTCCGTGTGCAATGATGTACATGTAGGAAGGGCACAAGGGCACCATTGGTGCGGGACAGCATACGTAAGCAAACTTTAAAACTTTTAAAGCTTGTATTACTCACCCATCTGTTTATTGCCTAGCACAGTGGTTCCCAATCCTGGTCCTGGAGAACCCCCAACACTGCACGTTTTTGGTGTCTCTCTTATCTGACACACACATTTGAGGTCTTGGGAGTCTTCACTAATGAGCTGATGAGTTGAATCAGGTGTGTTTGAATAGGGAGACATCTAAAATGTGCAGTGTTGTGGGTTCTCCAGGACCAGGATTGGGAACCACTGGCCTAGCAGATGCCAAATCTGTTCTTTTCCCATTTTACAAAGGCTCATTTGGTGCTCAAGCTCAATACGAACATTGAGTTAAGTATCACTCCCATTATCATTTCCTATCATTAGTTTCATGTGTGTCTGTGTTGCAGAAACATTCTATCTGAGTGTCATGTGGATCATGAAGATATTTCAGATGTTGACTGCTTGTGTCTAGATTAGATACAGAGTCCTCTTCTGGGCTACTGTCATCTAAATTTGTTGCAATGTCCTCGTTAACATAATATGTGTTTGAGCTTTCTGTGTTGTTTGATTCTACTGCCAGACGTTCTTCAGATCCATTGTATTGACCCGAGTCGAGTGTTAATGTGCTTAGATGTGTTTGTAAATTATGAACATCATTATCATTAATGTTTTGTACATACATTTCAGCTACTGAAATCTGAGGATCTAAATTAAGATCATCCGGTTTTCTGATACCATCTGATTTGAAGCCGTCTGAATAGTTGACAGCCAGTTTATTGGCCTCTGAAACCAAGGCTTTAGGGTTAATGATATATGGCTCTCCTTGAAAAATGGAGAATTCTGCTTGTGTAGTAGTATCTTTGGATGCTGAGTTTTGTGTTACTGTATGATCTCTTTCTTGACTCTCAGTTGAGTGTCTTCGTATTCTCTGTATATTAGACTTGAATCGGTGCTTTCCAGCTATTTTTTGTTGCCTTATTTCTAGTGGTTTTGCATGAATTCTATCTTCTAAGTCCATTTTTACTTGTGTGTGGTCCGTATTATGTATTTCGAAGTCTCGGTTGACTCTTTTTAGTTTTGAGCATTGAGCACTACTCATTTTGAGCATTTCTGACTCATTGTCTATGTCGTCACAATATGAAGTGATTCTTTGTGATTGTATTTTAAATTCTTCTGGGAGATCTAAATCGTCATTTCCTGATTCACAATCCATGTTCATTTCTTCTGAATCGGTACAAATCTCCGCCTCTGTTGTGAACATAGTCTCTGTATTTCCTTCACACTCCTCGTCGCATTCCCGAACCACAACATAGTCATGAAATGTCACAGTTTTATTGTTAACCTGTTCGCGGGCCTCCCGTTGGGCCGCAGTGCCAGATAATTGCGTCTTGATTGCCGTAAGGATTTGTTGAAGGTAACTGATGGTAAGTTCACAGATGATGATGGCAGTGGCTCCTCTATTTTGGTGTAGATGCCCTTTTTGTCGTAAAAATTTGAGGTGGAGTAGTCGTACTCGCTGAACGCCTCGTTGTGATATGAGAGCGTTTCCTCCACTAGGGTCATCGGTCGGCTCTGGTTAATCTGTCGGAGAAAAACTGACCGTCAGCTGGATTTACAGTTGCTTCTGTCAACACACATTTCTATTGTTTAAAAGCACAAATGCACAAAGGTCACTATGGGAAAATTGAAGGTGCACGGAGTAATATTGTCCTTATTTTAATATTTAAAATGATGTACAATTCAACTAAATGTATCTACATTGTATCACAGTTTCAACAACAATATTAAGCATAATAAATGTTTCTTGAGCAGCAAATCAGCATATTAGAATGATTTCTGAAGGATCACATGACACTGAGGACTGGAGTTAGTGTGTGTGTGTGTGTGTGTGTGTGTGTGTGAGCGCGAGTGGGTGCGTGT